GGTCCTTCGGGACCTGCGAGAGGTTACAAGTGGGCTGATCCTTGCGGAGCAATATCGCAAGGGCGAAGCGCGACTTAGGCAACGCAAGCTAAGTTCGCGTCTTTGCCGCAAGGGTGACTCGCGACTTAGGCAACGCAAGCTAAGTTCGCGTCTTTGGCCGCAAGAGTGCCTCACGCCTTAGGCAATTCCAGCTAAGACCGTGACACGACGCCTGGGCTCGGGCGAGCGCCCAGGCGACGCCTCTTTGAAGCGCGCCGCCTGGAAATGAAGCGAGGCGCTCGGGCCTCGCCTCGCCTCGCCCGAGCGCCTAGGCGAGTGCCCGAGCGCCTTTTTAAATCACTGATACAAAGATTATCAGCTAGATGAAACTAACAGTCAAAGGACCATCATACCCTTGCTTGTTTCAAAAAGTGTTTTTCTTAGTACTGTCAAGTGTCAAAGCACTAGGTGCTATAAAGCATCAAAATCCCATATTAGGTGTTCGCCTACTAAAGCAATAGGTCTATCTTTAAAAAATTATAAAATGTAACTAAAGATAAAAATATTCAAATATATAAGAAATTCAATTAAAGCATAAGTTTTATTTCATTTTATCAAAACAAAAACGTGACGTTGTTTTACTTTAAATATCTACCTTTAGTAATTTTGTCCAAACCATGCAAGTGGTAGCATCAAGGTGTAGATCTTTTAAATAATTAATTTCATCCAAGATCTTTTTTAATGTTTCCCAATTATGATTCTTCTGGCATGCCTATAATAGTATAATTGTTATTGTTTGAATTAACATGTTAAATTGATTAATTAAGTTGTGGAAAGAGGGGAAGAGAGAGGAGATAGGCAGGGTGGAAGAGGATGGGGAGAGAAATTAGAAGAGGAAGGGAGGTAGTGGAGGGCAACAAGAGAGAGTAGAGAGAATACTAGGGAGGCAAGGAAGAGAAGTAGGAAAAGGTAGAGAGGACAACAATGACATCTGTTGTTGGTCACAGAGAAGAGGTAGAGGAAAGAAGAGGCCAGAGAGGGCGATGACATGCGATGCTAGTTACAGAGTTGAGAAGAGATGAGGGAGGACAAAGGAAGAGAGGGAAGCCATAGTAGGGGGTGTTGGTCACACATGAAGGGACAGAGAAGAGGAAGAGGATAGAGAAGAGAGGACAACCATGGTAGGGGGTGTTGGTCGCACATAAAGGGGCAGAGAAGAAAAGGAAGAGGAAAGAGAAAAAAGAAGGCAACAGTGGTGGAGCCCCAATAGACAGAAGGGAGGAGAAAAGGGAGAAAAGAGGAAGAAGGGAGAAAGATAACAGAGGGAGACGAGGAGAGATGTGATAACGAAGAGAGGGAAGACAATTAAAAGCCATAAGCCAATGGTGGAAGGTCGACAATAGAAATGATAGGGCAAAAAAATGCAGGCATCAACTGCAGTGAATTGGGTTGATCAAGTTTAGATTACAGTATAATTTGGTTCCGGAAAAGGTAGGGGGGAATTGGATTTGCATAGAGTCAGGAGAACCTGAATTAGGTTGAGAGTGGGTTGAGGAGTTTGGGTTGCCCAAGACAGCACAGGTGAACACTTGGGATGGGATGCCAAGCATCACAACTAAGGCTCTCGTAATCTCCAAGTTGACTCACATTTTTACGAGTGCAAGTCAAATGTGTAATTAGATGCTTAAGCACCATAGATAATTTAATCATTTAACCCTCAATACAACCACCTCTAACTCACCAAAATTCAAGCATTTCATCATATCTCCATCTTGACATATCTAAAACACAATAAACTTCTTGATATAGGATTCAAAAGGGATAACTAAAAATGACAATAACAATAGAATATAATAACCAGAAATAGAGAGATTAGAAACATTATAATTATGACATAATGAGTACCATGCTGGATGGACAACAAATACAAATGATTTTGGTGTGTAAATTAAACTTCAGGTGATGGACACAAATAACTAGGTGGAAGCTTGCATTTAAGGAGCTAACAAAAATTCATTGATTTAATAATATTAACTATTTGTATTAGAACCTGAATATTGTAAAGCAAATACAAGAAAATGTTTCCAAAAAAGAAAAAAACATACCATAAAAGTTCACCACCATTATCACAAATGGCACATACTGAATCAAATAAATCAGACTCATCCTCTGAATCATCATCAGCATCATCTTTTATGTCTTCATCAACCTCATCATCATCAGCAATAAATGGCTGATTTAGATTTGAACTATCTAAAGCAACCTGAAAGATTAATTTAATAATAAACCTTATCCAATTTGATCTATCACGTGACAAGTTCTACAAATGATCTATGGAAATTAAAGCAAATATGACCAGGATCAGCACCAACCTCACCAAATTTCTTCCTTGGCTTCCCCTCTAGGAACTCTAGCAACAGCTGTTCAAGTAGAACTGTCATAAGAAGCATGCTTAACAAGATACAAACTCAAATATTTAGGGTAAAATGAAGCTATTTCAATGGTAAAGAAACTGTGAAATTAATAATGGAGCACAGATGGTAAGTCCAAATTAAAACGAATAATATAACATTGGACTAAAAATAACTAGAACTTGAACATAGAAGCATCAATTTGATAAATACATCCTTCACTGGCCATCACATAACAATGATTTAAAAAGGCACCCGGGTGCTCGCCTAGGTGATTGAGCAAGGCGAGACAAGGCGCAAGCACCTCACATAGAAGTTAGGCGATGTGCTTCAATGAAGCGCTACTTGTGCGCTCGATTGAACCCAGGCGTCGGGCGCCTCAAGTCGACGTCGTCTCGAGTTTTGCGAAACGACTCTGGGTGCCCGGCATCGCTCGGGTCGGCGTTGTCCCAAGTTTTACAGAGCGGCTTCAGGGTGTCCGGCACCAAGCGCCGATCGACCCGTACTGGTTGGCACCGAGGAGCACCGCTTGGGTCGACATCGTGCAACGCCGTCCTGAGTTTTGCGGAATGGCTCCAGGGTGTCCGGCACCGACCTGTACAGTGTCGAACAATGCGGAGGTCACGTGGTCGCCTCGTCCAGGTCCGAGGTGTTGCTCTACGTCAACCCAGTGGTCCTCTGTCTACTGCCACGTGGGTGGTGCCAAAATGTGGCATATCACTAAACATTTCAGTAAAACCACCCCACCGCCACATGCGAGACCCCCAAACCCTACTCCGCCACCCCGACTCACCTCTGGTCCCGTCGAAGGCAACCGCCACCGATGCCTACAAACCCTCCTTTGAACAAAACCTTATAAAGTCCCATACAATAAATGACCACTGTTAACCCTATTAAGTTCTATGGATCAAGTCAACACCCCCCCCCCCCCAACAAAAGCCACAGAACACACAAAAAACAAATGCAAGAGAAAACCTGAACAATCTAAAGTTCAAGCACCTCTATGGCAACACTACAAACTTGAATGGCATGTATGTATGTATGTATACATACCTGTGAATTTACTAAGACCTGATCCCTCTCCCTAAAAAGCTTCATAAGTGAAATATGTTCCCTGAAGTCATCCTCAGAAGGTCTGACCTCAAATGCACTGCATCATACAAACATCTTCAAGAACATCAGACAAAAGAAAGACAAATCAAAAAGTTCACAAGAGAAATTAAAAAAGGAGCACCTGAAGACACCACGCAGGTGTTCCCAAAGGCTCTTTTCTGATGCCTGTGGTTTTCTCCTCAGAAAATGAAGCAACTGTATGGTGATCAACATTGTCCTTATTGTATCCTCGTAACTCTTTCTTGGTTTCAGAAGATTGATCCATTTCTTGTCCTTCGAGAGGACCATGATCTTGGGTTGATCATCTTCTAATACCAACTTCCATGCGACAACCTGTTTGTAGACTTTCTGAAGCCCGCCATCAGTGGTTCCGTGCAAGAAAACGGCCCTGTTGACAGCATCCTGGTTCTCGCCGTCACTAAACTGGACAGGCAAAACTGAAAACGAGATGGGCGATTCATCATCGTCCACCAAATGATAATTTGTGACAATCTGCGGCACAATCTCATCATCATCGGACGATGCCATGATCTACACACCTTCAAAGAATAACGAAGCCGTATCTCCTTAAACGACAAAAGAAGAATGTTAAAGAAAATGGCATCAATCTCTTCAACTGGTCGAATCTACAATATGAAAAGAGCAACCAAACTCAATAGAAAAAACCTTCTTATTTTCGTTCATCAACCTAATTCGAAGTTTCAAACATAAAGGAGAGATGGAACCCTTAAAACAATTCCAAATTCCATTATTTTCCTGACTAATATTGCATTAAAGGTACAAAACTAACGAGAAATGCCAGCAATTGCAATAGTCCTGGGCGAAAACCAGTCAGGCTTCCCTCTAACAATCGAAGATAGCAAGAACAAATACTAAAGGAGAGAGGAAACGAATAAAGCACAATACCGTAATCAGAATCGAAAGAACACATGGGAAGGATGCCAAGGAAACAAAATAAAATTCGTAACAACAGCGGAAAACTCACAAGGAGTCAGATTAGAAGGCGCCGAGATAGCAAAACCCTCTAGAAGGTGAGATTTCCACGAAAGATTCGGCGGGGAAAGTGTTTCCTACGTGCACAACCGGAAAACCCCGACACCACATTTCCATGGGACGCGAAATTAGGGATTTGGGGAAGGGTGGAGAAGCGCCTTTTATTGGAAATCTTTTGCCGAATATTAAAGGCGGTTGTGGACGGGTTCGACTAGGAATTGCACGGCCGCGATTAAGGGCACCGCATGCGAAGGGGACCTATGTGACATTCAATCAAAATGTGAAGGACTTGTAAGTAATATCATATATAAATTAATTAAAAGAATATAGTCTCCACAGAGTTATTATAATAATACATACTTAAATATTAAAATAAAAAATATTAACCACTACAAATCATTTAAATTAAAATAAGTTGAGGTTAGTGGGACTAGTCATGCCATAAGATTCGTGCCGTGAGTTTTGGGAGATCAGTGCGATGAGCTTCGGCCGTTTGGCGGCCAACCTTTTCCCCTCCGCTTCTTTGAACACACCCTCTCTCTCTCTCTCTCTCTCTCTCTCTCGATCTACCAAATTATCCCTGGTTTCCTACGGCGCGACTTGAATCGTTGATTGAATGTGTTCTGTCGAGCCAATTTGGATATCTTCCTTCGATGATTCGAAGTCCGAATAACTTTGGTGTCAAAGGGGCGAATCTCTCAATTCTCGTCGGATATTTGTTATAGCAGGCGAATTGACTGTATCTGTGTATCTTTGAGGTGGTTCCGGTGCATCCGAGAGTTGTCTTGGGAGAATATTGGCTTTTCCGGGAAAAGTGATCCATGGAGTATGACCCATCCGATAGTAGCGGTGAGTGGCATTGACGTTTCTTATGTTGAAATGGTCGTTTCCTATGCGAAGAAGGTTCCAGATTTATTTAAAATGTTGTTTTTTTTACTTGGGATGGTTGGTGTAGAGACTTGCTGTGTTAGCTCGGTTACGTAGTGTAAGTGATGCAAGATTGGGTCATTAGGGTTTTGAGCTTGATTCGTTGCCATTATGGCTTAGGTTCTCAGAATTATTTTCTAATTTCACGTGAATTTCTGCTTTTTCGTTTGTCTTTGCTAGTTTAGTACTTAATTTGAAGCTAGATTAGAGTAGGCTTCATCTTCCTGTGGGATTAGGTTTTGCATATGGCTCCCGTATGTTTCTGTGCCTTTAAAGCTGAATGATAAAACATTGTGAAGCTGACTCTCTTTCCTCCATATGATGTTTAGACTGTCAAGCTCTTTTTTTGCAAAACAAATAAGCTTTACTGTAATTATCGCTTTTATGTTTCAAAAACTTGCATTTAAAATAAAGGGATAGTAGGAAGGTTCAGCGAATTTGCAAACTTCTGGTACAAAAGAAAGATGAACCTGAGGACAGAGTAGGCAATGATGAAGAGAGATCTGGAAGAAAATGTTATAGTTGTCAGAGGAATTAGTTGTACAACTGTACGTTTGCACCTTGTGTTGGCGGAGTATGTACTTGATTTCACAAATTTGTAGACCTTTAATAGAATTAAGCCCCGGTGTTAAACAGGATTTTGTGAATATATGGATCGAATAGTTTAAGAAGCACAATGTAGTGAATTTGAATGGCCATAAAAATTAGTCTAATTATAGATTTTATTGTATCTTGTAATCTCGTAGTTTTATACATTCTTTAATAAAAATTGGAACTTGATTACCTTTCTGGAATATACTAATTTGTTATCCTAGGAAAGAAAATATCGACATAATCCTAATTTCAAATTAGTCTCCATTTTTGTCAACAAAATTATGGTTTGTGTCAATTCTTATTTACTTTAGATCATGATGTGAAGTATAGATACTAACCACAATCAGAGGTAATGTTGGTTGTGCTCAGGACATTGAATGAATATTTTCAGAGGTTGAGGAACAGTATTAAACAATGATATCAGAGCAAACTAGCCCTTTAGATTGTTGTTAAGCAAAATGTCAACAACATGAAAAGCAATATTACTTAATTGATATGAAGTACATCTAGAGTGGCAAAAGTGAAATAGGATGATAATTAACTGATATAAAGCACTTAAAGAATTATGGTTGTCATTAGTACCATAGACGACTTGTGATTATAGGGTCAAACCAATTTACCAAAGGTCCAGAACTGAAGATAGTTGCAATGTTGTGCAACCTGACGAACTCGAAGAATCATATTTGGAGCCCGGTTGATCCCCATAGTTTCATTTCAAATATGAGTTCGGATAAACTATAACTTCTTCAAGTCTACACTTAGTTTAACTTTGTTGAGCTTGTTTTGCTTTTTCTTATTTTCGTTCGACTATGCCATTGAATTAAAATACTGATTCTCAGATCATCAATCAGTTTCTGTGAGCAAGTACCCAAAGTGCATGCTTATCTGTTTCTTGGAGTAGTTGTGGATCACTGGAATTTAACATGTTGTCATACTGTTCACAGTTCATCCCACCCTTTCTCTTGGACATTGTGCCTTTCTTGGTTGTGCTGTGTTTTTTCTTTTTTTTCTTTTTTTTTTTTTGGTGTAGACTTCTTCTTGGGGATTACTAATCAACAAAAAACTGGGGGATCTGTAGCCAGTGAACCACAATTAAGGACAATCTTTTAGTATTTGTATAAGAATTAATATATATTATGCTAATGTGGAAACATTTGTAAGATATTGCATGGTTTGCAAGTATACATGTGGGCAAAGGATGTGCTATATTTTGACATTGATCATCTTTGAGTGGAAAGTACCTGCCTTCTTGTTTGGTATATCAAAATTTAACCATATGTTTATTTTGGTGCTAACATTAGTGGACATATCAATCAGGGTTACATGAGAGATTGGAGTTAAATGGCTGTCTAATGTGGTACATCTTGTCAAATTTCCTGGATGTAAGTCATTTTCAAGGTTTCTTATAGAGGCTGTTGTTACTAATAGATGGTGTACTATTTGTTGCTTTGCATTTACATATGAAGAGTTCAATAGTCATACGCATGAGCTTGTTTTGTGGATAACTTCTATGGTATCAGGTTTTCTTTCTGTAGAATCCATCTTTTATTTTTTTAAAAAAAATGGTATAATCATTATTGCCACTTGTGTAAGTTGTCGTCATTTCTGGAGAAGTACCAGTGTGATTTTTAATGTATACGTCACCTTTTTTATTGCCGCTACTTCCTTAAATCCCTTACAAGTTGTGGTGTATTGAATTATTATAAGCTTACCTGCACCTACTTTCTTTTGAACATTTCTTTTCCGACTTGCAATATGATTTACTGATTTTAATATTGTTGTGTTGGCTGCAGGAACTGATGATGATCTTCCACCATCTCATTACAATAGGGGTGCAAGAGGAGGACGTGTATATGGGAATGGAAGAGCTACTTTTGGTGCTATTCCATATTCTAATGCACCAAATGATATGGAGGTCCAAATACACTGGCTTGAGCAAGATTCATATAGTTCAGTTCTTCGAGCATTTAAGGCTCAATCTGATGCCATTACTTGGGTAGTAATCCACATAGTTTTCCAAATTGATATAATGCTGTTGCTGTCCATTTTTCAATGCTTATGTGCCATTTTATTGCTGCGTCATGAGAAAGTTTGTCTTCAAGAGAAGGAAAGTCTTATAACTGAGCTCAGAAAGGAGCTGAGGGTGTCAGATGAGGAACATGGAGAACTGTTAAGCAATGTTAATGCTGATGGCATCATTTGGCGAATAAGGTATGTAACTAAGTGTGCTAGAATCTACATTCAGGACTATGTTAAACATGTTTTAACTTTCTTTTATGAACTGATCACTTGTGCTAACTCTTAGGAATGGAGTCAAGCAGGTGGACTCCAAACTGGAATGCTTAGTAATTCTCAACCAGAAATAACAATACCAAGTCCTACTGTATCAGCATCTTGAAAGAGGCAGAAGACATCTCAGCTATACCTTTTCTCACATTAGGTGCACCATCTCCTGCTCTGCAATCACAGCTTGCTGCTTCCATGCAGCCATCATTATCAGCTTCAAAAAGAGGAGCTGCTGCAGGAACCAAAGGCAAGAAGCCTAAATCAGTAAGTTGTTAAGTTGTAATAATCAGTTATCTTTTGAAATCTCTTTCTGACCTAGATGTTCTTTCCTGATAATCTTAACCATAACTTATAGGGATGCACATAGCCTGGTGCATCTTCTGCAAAGTCCATGCACTACCCTTCTGCAGGTCTCAGTGGGAGGGGCCAAATTGCCAATGAGAACTATTCTGGTGCTGTTGTGGCAGGTGAAGCTGCTGAACCAGCATCATTTGATCCACTAATTTGTTAGAAAATCATGACTAGATGACCTGAAGATAATAACTTTTATGAAGCTGTTATAACTGACTATAATCCAGTTCGGATGTTCATTAATCAGTATATATTCTATACATGATATGGTAAATAATCATCCTCAAATTTTTTGGCATTGTTGGCAAGGTCTGCATGCTTTAGTTGATGATACTGACATGTATAAAGAGACATGGGAATGGATCAATCTCAAAGAGGTGAGTTAGAAGTTTTCTATAGCTTGGTTTCATCATTTTAATATTTATTTATCTTCAAACAAACTTGCATGGTTGACAATCTGATGAACCTTTAAAAAAGAAACATCATGAACTGAAGCCTGAAGTACTTCCTTTTGGACATTAAAAAGGAATCTCTTGCTCTTTGTAGAAAATAAATGTCCTGTGCTTCTGAAGCTATGGCAACCTTGGCTAGTTTGTTGATTGAATTCAAAATTTGTGCTTAGTTGTTCTCTACCTGTTCTGTTCATAATATGCATACAAGTAAAAGACCAAATATGCTGTATAGCATGGAGGTTATCATATCCATGGGAGAGCTGAAGCCTGTGAAAGTTTTCATTAGAGCAATTCGTTGAATATATTAAGGTCATATCGGTGGAGTTAGCCTTTGGTACCAACCTAAGGAGATGCATTATAAAGTTTCTTAAAATATTTGATAGGCAATTGTGTCAATAGTTCAAGCCGAAGTTTTAAATGCTCAATGATTAAAAATATACATGCTGACAATTGGCATAATGATGCCATGCTGGCACTTGCATGCCAATGTCACCAATTTTAGATTGAGAGGGAAGAGAGACCATATATAGTATTAGAACCATATTTGATATGTTTGCTTTGAGTTTCTTGACACTAAACTAACCCAGTTTTGGCTAAATCATTCCAGAAACCCAATTTGTGTCGCATCTCAACATAGTAAATCCTTTAATGTTAAATCCATTTGTTATTTTGGGTTGATTGAAGCTGAACCAACCTGGTTAGTGGTGGAAATGCTGTGAAACAAAAGAATTTTTCATCACATTCCAAATTGTAAATCGTTTAGGGTGCTGTAGTGCCAGAAGCATGCTACACAAAGTTTCATTGTGCCAAATGGTAAGTCAAATCCATAATTCAAACATTAGTATTAAACGCCACTAGAAAGATCATAAATGCTATTATGTTTTGCTGTAGCAATCAGTTCTGGTATGATATGCTTGACCTGTAGCAGTATTGGATAAGACTGATTGGATTTTGGTGGATTTATGGTTGTAGCTCAAATATTGATTAGAATCGGCCATATTTAACCAAAGTAAATTGGAGCCAGCTGATTTTATTTACAAGTGTTCACATGACACAACCTTTATTTACAAGTCTAAAGCGGTCACCAAACCCAACTAAAATAGGACTATTAAACCTTCAGCCGTCCCTATACATGCTATGCAAAGCATGAACATACCAAAAGACACGGACATACATAAGCATTACATCAAACATCCTGTTTAGAAGTTTGTCCGTGACAGTATGGTTGCAGATTTGTCCAGAAAATATAAGATGGGAGGTTGAGGAGGACCCAGACATTGTTCTTCAGTCTGGTCAAGTTGCATCACGTCGTGGGGTTAAGAGGACCACAGCCCATGGTGGTGGCATTCCAGGTGCTGGTAGGGGTAGAGGATCACTGAAGAATCAGAAGAAGAAAGATTTTCTGCTGTCCCAAAATAGCATTGGCAAGAAGAGCACTGGAAACATTGAAATACTCCAAACTGACACTCTAATAAAAGAAGTATGTGTTTGGGATACTAAGACCATTGATTCTGCCAGACATAACTCATCTGATATTTTATTTGTCACTCTTGTGCATCCCAGGTAGAGAAACTTCTTGGTGCAAGTCATCCTGATCCTCTCGAGATTGAGAAAGCCCAGCAAATGTTAGAAGTATGTAGTTATAGAACTTTATTGTGAATAGCTATCTGGTTTCATGAAAAAAAATACAAGGTGTTTTGTTTGCATGTAGAAGCATGAACAGGCATTGATTGATGCAATTGCAAACCTAGATGATGCCTATGATGGCGAAAGAGGTAATTACTGCCCATAATTCTGTTCAATTTTGCATGTGATGCTGAACATTGAAAAACTTAAATATTTTTGTTTATGGTATGATATTTCCATTATTTATCTACGAAGCTTTCTGAAGGATAAAGCAAAGTGAGTTGAACTTAGGAAATCGGCGGCAGTTATGATTTATGCAAGTAAAGCATACCCATATTACGGCAGTCACATTTTTTTCTCTTTTTCTGAGCTTCTAATTTATCCAGCTAAGAAAAAAAAGATGATGCAATGGTGAGACTCTTGCTAATGCAGGGTACGGAGAGGGTTGATGTATACAATCTTACCCCTAGTCGTGTAGATTGCAAAAGGACAGCCCTACCATGACAAAAGGCTAAATATTTGGCCTAAAACTTCATGTTTTGTACTGTACCGAATATAAATTACTTATTTTTATTTGCCAGCCAGAATCTTGTCTGATTTCTGTTCAAATTTATTTGGTTCCACTAAGGAAGAGAAGGTAATCACTATGTTGCAACTTCTTTTAAGTAAATTCCTACATCTTGCCAAATTCTACAACTCTGTTTTGCTTGCAAAAAGGGCTCTAAACCCCTTGCACCATTTCGTTTTGCAGTATAGCCCAAACTCCAGTTCAGTTCTCACATGGCAAACCCATGGACAAAGATCAAGGATGGAGAAATCCAATGTATGGTGGGAACCAGCATGGAGCTAATTACAACCATGACATGGCTGTCGATGTTGGAGAAGGCTCTGAGGATGATCGAATGGTTGCAGGCGGTATCGCATTGGGTTACCAGCATTATGCTACTGATGATGACATGTAAGCTTGTAACCAACCTGCACTGAATCTTCCACCACATAGTATGTCCACAGGGATCCCTAACCATGTAAAATGCTTTAGCTAAGATTCATTTCTCACACGTGAGAAATTAATGGTGCCTTGATCCTTGGTTGAAAACATCTCCTGTATGAGTTGTTTTCAGAATTGTATCTGAAGAGAGCATCTTGGGGAAATTTGGCCTCTGATCATTTCAGTGAGCAGCTTATTAGCTCTTGTGAGTTGTTTTGCATTCTTTGTTTGTTATTGGCTATCAGTTATGAATTTTGTTTCTGATATTGATGGAGAGAATTCAGAATCTGTTTGTTCCTACATGGAAAACAAAAGGTTTCCTAATTAAATTTCAGTAGTCTGAAGATTTAGCATTTTTCATTGTGTAAAGAAGTAAATGCATGAAAGGTATTTTATAGATCCATATACAAAAAAAATTATATATCCAGTAGCTAATCTTTTCAATTTTTTCCAAGAAACAAGTAGATACTATTACTTTAAAAATATAGGGCATCTCATGCCAGAGCACAAAACAATTAAAGTAAGAACAACAAAGCTATAAAGTTCAATTATTTAAGGTTATTATCTATAAATAAATATTTTATTTAAATTAAGAATATTTAAATTCTATTTATAGTTCTTAATAAAGTTCTTTTAGGTTTATTTCTTTTTCTTCTTGTATTACTAATATTAATAGTTATTTTCTTTTAATTACAGATCTATCGATCTCTATATCTTAGATGATTTTTTAAATTAATTTATGAATAAAAATATTTTTTTCAATCTTTAGTGTTAACTATTCACATTCATCTCAATAATTTCATATCAATATCGCAAACTTTATAAATATTTTTTTAATCGTTTAATATTTAGATGAGTCTAACTCTTTTTCCAAATTATAGTAAATTTACTTTTCCTAGCAAAAATTGAATCTAGTTTTGTACTTTGAATCCGATTTGGGATGCCTATTGAACTCATCGTAAATTTAGGTAACGGAAGTGGATCCGATTTAAATGGGTCGGATATAAATGAGTCGCTAAATTTGAGGCCATCCGGTCAAACCAAAACGCAATCTCCACCGATGGCGGCTCAGAAAGAAATGGTCAACGAATTGCACACGCCACGAACACCATTGACGTCAAGCCTGTACGTGAGGCTCGCTTTCTCGCCTTCCCTCTCCTTTGCTTCTTCTCCCATTGTCACAGAGAGATAGAGTGACAAGCAGCGCTTGAGTTCCTGCATCGATGGCCAAACCCACCGCACTCATTCTCACCTTCCTCCTCTTCCTCCTTCTGGTGTGGGCCGCCAGCTCCGACTTCGACGCCACCGCCTCATGCCGTTACGTCACCGCGCCCCAGCTCTGCACCTCCGTCGCCATCTCGTCTGCCGCCACGTCGGCCAAGGCCCTCACCGTTGCCGCCGTGACCGAGGCCGCGTCCACAGCCAAGCAAGTATCGGCCTCCGTCGACGCCATCCTGGCCCACTCGGTCACCGACGCGAACCAGAGGGCCACCCTCGAGGTGTGCAAGAGAAGCTACGAGAGCGCGGTCGGAAGCCTGGAGAAGGCGGTCGAGAAACTGCAGTCCGGGGCGGGCTCGCACGGTGACATCATCGCCGACATATCGGCCGCGCTCACCGACGCGGGCAGCTGCCGCGACACTTTCAGCCAGAACCCCGGCATGGTGTCGCCGGTCGCCGAGGAAGCCAGCGTCCTCAAGAAGTTGGTCAGCAACAGCCTCGCCTTGGCCTCAGATTTGGACGTTGACACGCCTGCCGACTGAGAGAGAGAGAGAGGAGGCAATATGTAATCATTAGATAGCAAAAGGCTAGCGAACTTTCGTGCTTGGCTTAGTAATAATAATATTTTGTATTAGAATAAACAAAAAAGATAAATTTCGATGTCATTCATTTTGATCGACAAAGAAAATAAAATCTTAGGGAGTTGTAAATTTAATTTGGTATCATTATGTATGAATAAAACATTATAGTGCATAACATAAATCTAATGATCTTCATGAAATAAATTTTAATTAAAATAAAATTATATATTGATCCATTCTTAGAAATCTAATTAACAAAGCAATGCTTTCCATCAAGGAATTAATTTAATTATCAATTATTGAGACAAATCTATTTAATATTCATATTATATATTTCTCGTTGACAATATAATTTAAGCTCATTATTAAATTATTAAGTCGAGTATATTAAATATGTTGATTTTTTTTATTATGATCCAATTATGACCGATCGATCTCATCAAATTTTACTTAATCATTCGACTCGATCGAATTCGAATGGAACCGAATCATAAATCATGCATCGAACGTCAATACGATTTAAAAACTTAAACTCATTATTCTTGGATTAAGTCCGATAATACCCGATATAATTTTGATCCTCTAACAAACAGGTTCTTGAGAAATAATAGAAATTGTTGAGCAATTGCATGTCTTTGTCAGTTTGCTTGAGACAAATGAAAGGTTAAACCACATAAAATTCACATCTTTGGAGGCTTTTATTTGTTCATACTATGATAGGATGGACCAACTGAGAATCAAATAGAGGTCTGTACCACTATGCCCTATGTTTTACTTTTACTGTCATACTATTATTATTATTATGCTATATTTTACTTTGTTGACTCTCTATATTGTTCTTTTGAGTACTATAAGTCTTCTTCCTTGGTTCAGAATGAAGCTAAAGAGATGACCAACAGGAGGCTAAACATACTCATTAAGAGTGTAGAAAGAGCAGATAGAATGAGGAACCAAAACACAATAACTAGGGAAGTGTGAGAGCAACACACTTGCCAGCCTCACAATCAAGTGCATTGACTCCTGCTGGAACAGCAAAATGAATGAGAGGAACCACAAGAGCATGGGCATATAAACACCAGCACAAAAGAGAATGAAAAGATGAGAGGAACAGCTAAAGATGCTGCTGGCTTTGGTACTCCTCTTGAATGCCTCCCCTCCTTTTTTCTCCACCTACCAATATAATCCATGATGTGAGAGAAAGAAAAAGGAAACCGAGGAAAAAGAAAGAGCAGACCCCCCCACTCTCCCTCTTCATTACTCCCTCTTCCTGGACACGCCCACATGGGGGAGGAATTCTATATTAACAGCTGCAGATCGACCAGAACTTCATTTTTTATTGCCTCAGGCTTGTGAGAAATGGACTTAAGAACCTGATTCTTCCATTCTCGAGCTGATCGTAAAGCGTGGGGAGGGAGACAACATTTATTGAAGAGAGAGAGAGAGAGATGCAAGCTGTGCATCAATGGGGATACAGGCAAGATGGGTGCTTAAGAGCACCTAATGATGGCGCAGGAAGAAGACAAGCACACCAACGTACGTAGATGCGGACAGCTGATGTAGAAGAAGGATCTCAGTGTCCCGAGATCCCAAAGACATGGCTCGTAGCGACCGCAGGCCTTTCTCCATCCATGTCGTCTTCTTCCTTGAGCTGCTGCTACTTCTTGCAGCTGCTGCTAGTGTCCTCTCGGCATCAGCAGCGAACAACACGATGCGCCCTCGCAACGAGCTTCGCAAGTACAAGAGGATAAGAGCCTATCTTAAGAGCCTCAGTCGGCCTTCTCTCAAGACAATTCAGGCACTCTCTTCTTCTTCTTCTTCGTCTTCTTCTTCGAAGGGATTAATCTTAACCCTGGTTTTTGCTGGCTGCACAGAGTCCAGATGGTGATGTTATCGACTGCGTTCCGTTTCACCTCCAACCAGCATTCGATCATCCCAGGCTGAAAGGATTGAAACCCATGGTACCAGAAACTTCGTCGAACATATCTTTGAGTACTCCGCATCGACCTTATCCAGATCCACCAGAGAGGCCTCGAGGCCATGAAGCCAGCGTCCTGGCCGACGGCGAAGACAGCATCCAGTTATGGAGGACTTCCGGCGGGACATGCCCCGAAGGAACGGTTCCGATCCGGAGAACCAAGGAAGAAGACATCCTGCGAGCCAGCTCCGTGAGGAGGTTCGGCAGAAAGCCGGCAGCAAGAACACGGAGAGTCTCGGAGGGCTCCGGACATGAGGTAATTAGGCCAACAACTCCTTGGAAATGTGCGTCGAGTCCTTCCTACCCACCTGCTGCTGCATCATAAACCACATATTAATGGATCCACCAGCCTCTTTCATCAGCTCTCCCTCTTCTTCACAGCCTACAAATAGACTATCTAAGACTAAACCGAAAGATGAGACCTGACATCATCTTCACCATTTACTCTCCTTCACCATGGCCATGACAACATATGAAGATTTACCTTTTCTCTCCCACCGAAGTTACATTATCCACAGGACCAAAGATCTGGCAATCCAGTTGACTTGGGTAGTAAGATTCCACTGTCAATCACAGTTTGCAGGTCAATAAGTTTGACTAAGGATATCGGGATACATTAAACTCGGACACAAACATGAGATCAGTGGAAGCAATTCATCCAAGTTCTTTATCGACTTTGTGAGGTGATGATGCCCTTGCTGAAACAGGCTGTTTGGTTGCAGCATGCAGTAGGGTATGCTGTGGGATATCAATATTATGGAGCAAAAGCAAGCTTAAGCGTGTGGTCACCTCGGGTGGCCAGTTCTTCTGAGTTCAGCCTATCACAAATATGGGTCATCTCAGGATCTTTCAGCAGTGATCTCAACACCATCGAAGCTGGATGGCAGGTACTAATAACATGTCAAATGTTCCACTTCTTTTAGGGGATCTTGCAGAAATATTATTCCCATAAACATACATTCGAAGAACTCATGTTGATTAGCCAATAGCTACATGTAAATGGCTAAAATACTTGTCATGTTCTTATAATCATAATAAATGCTTATAACACTTTAATTGATATTTAATTGATGTAGATTAACCTTTATCTTTTTTCTTTGACTGAAGTGCTCCCTTTCATCCACATGACTCAGTGAGTATTCTAATAATTAATATCCAGCTCAAAAACCACCCCCTAAGATTGTCTTCTGTTCTTCATTTTGGTTCTCAAACTAGAATACTTTTTGGTCCTTTTGAATACTTGTTGGCAGTGTTTAATGTAGAACATTGAGAACAATTATTTTGTTCATAATGACTTCTTTAAGTCTTTCTTTTTTTTTGCTGTATTTTCCAGGTGAGCCCACAGCTTTATGGAGATAGCTCTCCTAGATTCTTCACTTATTGGACAGTAAGCAGTCCTTCTTGCCTTAACTTCATATATAGCACACAGTTTCCATCCAAATATTATATATCTGATAGCTAATTTGCTCTATGTCTTGAAATATATTCTACAGACAGATGCATATCAAGCAACAGGCTGCTACAACCTCCTGTGCTCGGGCTTCATCCAAACAAGTAACAAGATTGCTATCGGAGCTGCAATATCTCCAACCTCGACTTACAATGGCAGGCAGTTTGACATCAGTCTACTGATATGGAAGGTCAGTTATGTCAACAACTAAGAACTATCTCAAAACTTACATTAAATGCATGGTTCTCTTAATTTTACTTTCAATTAGCAAAGATGTTAGTTTTGGGAATTCTTTTCTGTACCTATGTGATGAAGTGGATGACTGTTTAAGCTTCTAGTAATTCAAGTACAGAGAGAGAGAGAGAGAGAGAGAGAGAGAGCACCCTACATAGTCTTTACTTGCCAAGGGGACTAATATGCCTCAGTGCACTCTTTGGATTCCGCTGGCCACTTAGTTGCTACCTTTACCTTTCGAGGATTGGTCATATGACTAAAAGATGAGCTCTGTGGAAAGTCTTGGATGTCAGATGTCACTTGTTTGTGCATCGAGTTCATATTTTCACATAACAATTACACCCAAAAGACATGGTCAAGAAACAATCTTCACTCGAGGAACTGGAAGCACATCATTGGATCCCCATCATCTGACAGAATTAGGTTTTAGTCAGAAAAGTGTTAGGAAACATTGCAGACTTCCCTTTTGAAGTCTGAAAGAGTTCAGCAAAAGTAGAACAACTGTTGATCTACTTGTATCATCCTGATCAGTACTGATCCAATATAGTTGCATGAATATTATATGTGCCATGCGCAAAGGTTCAGAATACAACTGTGGCTTGTAGGAGTAAGTACGGTGTCTGCATGCTGTGGACTGCAGGATCCAAGCCATGGACACTGGTGGCTGGAGTTCGGATCCGGCGTGCTCGTGGGCTACTGGCCGTCCTCCTTGTTCAGCCACCTCGCAGGGCACGCGACCATGGTGCAGTACGGTGGAGAGATCTTCAACACCCGTCCATCCGGGTTCCACACCGCCACCCAGATGGGCAGCGGCCACCACGCCGGAGAAGGCTTCGGCCGAGCTGCTTACTTCCGGAACTTGCAGGTCGTCGACTGGGACAACAGCCTGATCCCGGTGACCAACCTCCGTGTCCTCGCCGACCACCCAAATTGCTATGACGTACAAGCAAGGATCAACAGAGCCTGGGGGAGCTACTTCTACTTCGGAGGACCAGGAAGGAGCGTCAGGTGTCCTTGAGCCATAAGAACAACAGCAAGCCCTCTTCATCTCCTCATCCTCTCAACGTCAGACTCTGTGTTCTTTCAAGAAATCTGATCTTTCTACCTCCTCAATTGTACAAACAGTGAGAGTATACATCCAATTTTGTGTTCATGTCAAAAATGCATCATCTAAAAGATTGTTGAGATAGATCACGGGTGGCACATGTACTTTGTTATTGTTCTTCTTCTCCAAACAGCTACTTCCTGTTCAGGTCCCCTTGTGATTTAGATTTGCATGTACATTTCAGTACAACACCATTATAATTCCTTTAAGTAGTAATTTAAATGTAAAGATTGATACAAACCATATTATATAAATATAATTGTTTTGTGTTTGGTTTTCTATATAAATAGAAACCATATTATATAATTTTTCTCACTTGTAAATCAGTGTGTTGTTATACAAAGCACAAAATGAGCATTAAATATAATATATTTTTTTAATGATTGAAGATTATTATTTGTAATATTCTTTTTGTTACTTATAACCCAACTTCAAATTATTCTATATGTCATCAATTTATAACTTAATTTTAATAAAATCATTTTATCTTATATCTACAACTACTCCCTTTTCTCCTTTGTCTTCTTTTTCTTTTTCTCTATGAAATGAGATGAACTAAAAATAAAAAAAATAAAATAAAAAATAATTTTTGATATTTATTATAATGATTTAATATATACATTCTGTAATTATATTAACATAGAAGAGATCATATTTATTATAAGAAGGGGACTCTAATATTTTATTTATTTATGTATTGTAGCTTATAAATGTCGAACCGGACCGAGTTACGGGTTCGAGATAAGAAAAGAACCAAAGGCAATTGGGGTTTCTTCTTCCCGACCCCGGTCGATCTCGATTCCCCTTCTCCCGTGATCGGTTAAGCCCCTTTTATAGCCCCTCTCTCTCTCTCTCTCGCTCGCTCACCGGAGAGCACAGCTGAAACGAATCGGTAATACGTCTCATCACTGCTCGATTTTTTCTTTCTGTCAACGGATTCTTACCCAGAAGCAATCGTTAATCTCTTTGTTTCCCTTTTCTTGGTAGTTTATCTTGATCAAAAAACCTTTCTCTTCCTTCTGTTCCCCACCCACAGAAAACTGAGGAGGAGGAGGAGATGTCTGCGATCACAGAGCTCAGCCAAGAGACCGTGCGCAGCATGGCCGTTGGCGCCGTCTTCACGGACTACGTGCGTGATTGTCTCCTCTATATAAATTCTTCTGTTATCTGTGTTGTTTGCTAATACCTCGTCGATTGAACTCAGTCGTATTTGTTTGGCGTCTTCGTTTGTATGGTTCGATTATGTCCTTCTCTGGTGCTAGAATACTCAAGGATCAGAAGTTTCTTTGATACCTTCTATTTGGAATTAGTTGATTGCACGAGTCGGTCCTTTTCTAGGTGATAGCGTCTTGTTTGCTCCTTTTAATTGATGGTGGCGGCAATAGGTCTGAAAAGTCAGGATCTTTATATATTCTGATAATAAATCATTCATAAACTTTTAGTTGTTCTTTTCATGGGAAGTTAGGGATTGAGGCGTTAGTGATGGTTGGTTATAAGCGTAATCTGTTGGAAAATAACCCTGTTGAGAGATCTGATGCAATCTGCATTGTCTTATAGAACAGGCATAAGATGAATGGTTGATGGAGACTGAGACTAATTATTGAATTTTTGGAGTATAAGTTGGTTCCAAGAGATGGATGTTGTTGTCTCTATTTGGTACTGGAATTTTTTCTTCTTTAGATGATTCTTAGGATTCCATTGGGTCTTAATAGAAAAGGTCAGTAACTGTAGCGGAGGCTGATGATTGACTTGTGGACATGTAAAACTAGGAAACTGTGGTGAAAAAATTAAGTTGACATTTTGTCACGAACGGTCGTCGCGCACTCGCAACAACTTCGTTCAACGTACCGTTCGTCGCTCACACCTACATGTACAGCTGCTTGACAGCATGTTTTCTCTTGGTTTTGGGTCATTTTGCTTGCAAAAATGTAAGTTCGAACAAGCTGCAGCGTTACAAAGCGACCGCTCACTGAACCGAGTAAAACAGCCCCAAAACAGCTCCGTTTTCGCGTGCCGCGGGCTGATTTCTGCAATCTGCCTCCACTCACCAAAACGTCAGCCATCTCAGCCCCTTTGAACCCCCCGTGTGGCACAGGGCTGGATGGGGCTTCGGATATATACCGGGCGTTGAACTCTCTTTCGCAAGTTCGCACGTGGCCTTTACGGGAACTTGTTGTCGCGCCCGGGACCAGGTGAGCGGCTGTTTGTGGGCTTGCAGCTGTTCGTTCAACCTTCTAAAGCCCTTGTTTTCCCCCTCTCCCTCTTTTCTCTTGTGCACGCAAGGTGCTCGCTGAATTGCTTGTAAAGCTTCCCCTTTTCGCGAGACGTCGGGACTTGTCCGTCGCTCGTTCTTTCGAACTCATCAACTTTCTCTTTTTACAGGTCCTTCGGGACCTGCGAGTGGTTACAAGTGGGCTGATCCTTGCGGAGCAATATCACAAGGGCGAAGCGCGACTTAGGCAACGCAAGCTAAGTTCGCGTCTTTGCCGCAAGGGTGATTCGCGACTTAGGCAACACAAGCTAAGTTCGCGTCTTTGGCCGCAAGGGTGCCTCACGCCTTAAGCAATTCCAGCTAAGGCTGTGACAATTTGGTACGAAACATGTAAAGAGAAAATTGTAACTACAGCAAAACAAAAAAGCAAACAAGATTGATCACTGTAATCTACAGATATTTGTTTGGTATGCTGTTGAGCAGCAAGAAAAGACTGAAGGATGAACAGAAGCAAAGGAAAAGAATGAAGATGAGGGGCTTCACATCCAAAATAAAGTAATCCAAGCAATACAGTCTAGCCCTTTCCATGGTAACCTTACCACTTTAAATGGACCTGAATGGTTTCTTTTCCCTTGGGCCGCGTAGATAGGAATAACATCATCCTATACGTATCCTGCCTAAACCATACTAAATTAGGTATACTAACATATCCAAAAGAGAGCCTTTTAGGCACACAACATTGTCAGCTTTGAGCAGCCATATGATTTCTTTTGTCATAGGCTCCTTTTACACTAGTGAAATTTGTCAAACAAAGAAAGACAAAGATCCAACCAATATCTCTTATAGCAACTTTTGGTATCTTAATGAAAATTTTTAAAAAAATATTATATGAATTTTTGATAACTCATCCAGCAGTATTCTGTTCGCAAGGTTTTAAATTCATGGAACAATATTGTGCCCACATGACACACCAATCAACATGAGGATTGCAAGGTTGGCATGGGCTCTCTAACTATCTATTGAATTTTTAGTGTGCCCAGAGTGTGGCACTACAAAAATCTTCATTCCCTGATTGTCAAGGATGTATACATAAATCCTTTAGTCAGTTTACAACAAGTACAAGCCAAAAGCAAAGCATCCAAGAAGCTTAAACTCTTGAAACTGGGATTACTATTTCATGATATGTGGCATGTTTGTATTATGTAGCATACACAATTTTATGTCATGTCAGGCAGCACAGACCAAACATTAGCCTAGCCATATGTGACTACCTCCAAAACAGGTCAACATGGGTGCTGTACCTTTTTGGCATTGTACTATTTATGGTGTTAATTGGCACAACAATTCTTGGTGTGAGAATGTTAAAGAAGGAAACTTATTCCGAAGTAGTTTTTTTGGGTATTTTCCTTGCTGAAGACCATTAAACTTTGGTATTGTCCAAAGTAGTTTTTCTGGGTATTATCCTTGCTGAAGACCATGAAACTTTGGCATTGTCCAAAGTAGTTCTTATAAGTGTCCCACTCAGCTTGATGGCTAAGTTAGAGAAAAGATTAAGCTGAAATAGATCCGTATTTTATTATTTACATACTAGACATAATGCAATGTTCTGTGCAATTATTGCTTCATTTTCAAATTCTTTTACAGTCTTTTGGGTAATTATTCTCCACCACAGTGGGAGACATGAATAGTAAGTAGCATGAAGTGACGTTTCAAAGCACCATTATAGCAGTTGTTATGGAAACAGTTTAGAGCTGTCATAACTCGTTAAAACTGATTAACATACTGTTATCAACCCTCCAATTTGCTGTTTCAAGAATAAAATATTCATTGTCATGATGGACCATTATGATTTACTATAGGAAATAGCTTCTGATATTGAAGAAATTACTTTTTCAATAATCAGAAAAGAAGTAATTGTAGAAGTAGCCATGTGTCACTATGATTCAAATTCACAGCACAAATTCGTTTATCTGATGAACAATGATGAATATGAGCAACAAATCGAAGGTTGTGAATATCACTAACAGCTATTTATCTATAACAGCCATTCGACCAGAAAATTATGGGTAGTAGCTGTTTTCTCTTTTACATGTTATCGTATATATGACTGCACCAGGACCATTCTGATATAATGATAGCATCCTTCAATCAATGGCATGAAAGATGTTGCTTATGATTGTGAATATGCATGCATGTGCACTTTGACTTGACAGTTGTATGTAATGGGCAATTGGGTCTATTTTGGTAAATATTACTTCATGTTGTTATGTTGTAGCCACTATATCATGCTCTGTCATTGTTTTTTTGCTCCTGTTCTATTAAATTGGTTAAGATTCCTTGCCAAATATAATATTTACTTGTTGTAGGCAGGGAAAATAAGTTCTATTGATTTTCATCGAACGGAAGATCTTCTTATTACTGCAAGTGAGGATGACTCTATACGCCTTTATGATATTGCAAATGCTAAGTGAGTAAGTTTTACCAGTTGCCTTTGTGCATATTTTCAATCTCTGGTTATTATGTGGTATATTCAACATTAAATTATGGTGCTTACCATATAAAATTGATTGCAATTTCTTTTAGTTATTTTCTTGTCATCAACCCTAGGTAGACTTTGACCAGACAGTTTTGTTTTTTCTGCAATTACTACTGTAAACAGTTTATCTTATATCTCATTAGGCTGGGTTCATGGTATACTGATATCATGAATTGGGGACTTCACATGTCTGTGGGGACCTTTAAGGATATTGGAGGAGATAAAGAACAAACAACTGGAAAGATATTATTATTTTTATAGTGACATTAGGAGGTTATGATTGTCTGACTGTGATGTTGACATATTTAATTTTCACAAAAGATGAATCAAGGATAACACCGGAAGATTGTTCTTAACTTTAATTTCATGCGTTAGGAGCACCTTTTTAGGAATTATTACCATGCTTGAAGCTCAAATGGCTGCTTGCTGAAGCTGGTTTAACAGCCATCTGAATTTCAAATGTCTGTCACTAAGCACTCGTCAATTAGCAGTACATTGCATAGAAATGTCAATGCAGTTGATCTGATGTCCTATCTCGATAATTCATTTTTATTTCTACGTTGTGCATTTTTAATATTACTCTGCTATTATCCATATTTGGGTCATGGAGGGAAAAAGCAACATTTGTCTGAAAGTCATTTTGGGTGTTGGAGCCATCTTGGGGACTTGTCGGGTTGGTAGATACCGGTCTGTACTAGTATACTGACACACGATATGTTGGGGCGTGTTGACGGAGACTCGGGCGATCCACGTCTTGGTCGCTAGTCAGACTGGTTTGTACTGCCCGTACCATATCAACTTGGGTGATACAACAAATGTTGGGGAAAAGTAAATTTTTTTCATTTTTTTCATTTTCTATGACCATATTATTGAGTCAAGCTTGCCCTTGCATGCAGGCTGCTGAAGACCACATATCACAAGAAGCATGGTGCTGATCGAATTTGCTTTACACACCATCCAAGTTCCATTTTGTGCTCATCAAGATACAATATAGAGTCGACAAATGGTGTTATTTTGATGAGCCCTGCTTTTTACCAAAACAAATTATTCCAAAGGAATTGTAGTTTATGCATCTAATTATATACTTCTTATTTAACAGAATCATTGCGATATTTATCTCTGTATGATAATCGTTGCCTACGGTACTTCAAGGGGCACAAGCAGAGGTAACGATTAAATTTCTCTTCGATGATGCCACTACTAATACTTGGATGTTGAGCATCTATGTTGTATCTTCTTAACAAGCTCTTGCACAATTCTTGCAGAGTTGTTTCACTGTGCATGTCTCCTATAAATGACAGCTTCATGTCAGGTTCTCTTGACCATAGCGTAAGAATATGGGATCTCCGTGTAAATGCATGCCAGGTCAGAGTTTATTTATGCTTGAAATACTGTTTTGGATGCTAAAAGTAACGGCAGTTAGATTAATTATTTCAAAGCAATTTGTAGTTCAGATATACATAGTATTATCTGAACTTGATTCATGCTCACTGCTTTAGTCTTCAGGGAATTCTGCGGTTACGTGGAAGGCCCACTGTTGCTTATGATCAACAAGGCCTTGTTTTTGCTGTGGCAATGGAAGGGGGTGCTATCAAATTGTTTGATTCTCGTTCGTATGACAAGGTCCTCAGCACTTCAGAAACTCTGTACTTTGTTATAGTTTATATGTTCTGACCCTTCTGGGTATCTTTTAGGGTCCATTTGATACTTTTCTTGTTGGTGGAGATACTGCCGAGGTCTGTGATATCAAATTCAGCAATGATGGCAGGTCTATGGTTTTGACAACCACAAATAACAATATCTACATTCTAGATGCCTATGGAGGAGATAAGGTTGAAATCTCACTTGGATATTTGATATTTCAGCCATAAATTTTTTGTCATTTTGAGTGATTAGACAAACTATTATGCTACATGATATATTCTCATACTTTTTCTACCAATATATGTGACAAGCGAATGGACTTCATAAGTCTGCAGAGTGGTTTGTTCAAAATTCTCAACTCTTTAATGTTTCAGACTGCATCTTAGAGTTCCAATTAACATTACATATTTCTCGATAGCTCTTCTTTTAATCATTTACAAGTTCTCAATGTTACAATACCTCTTTGTTGTAATACCATCACCTTTTAAAAATCTGAGGGCTGTCATCACATCAGATACACCCACATTGACAATTCTTCCCTTTCAGTAATACCTGTACCTATATCTTTGTTGGATTTCGTTGCATGTGCACAAGCATAACCTTGAGAACTGATGCCTACAACTCTGTGTTTGCTTTAGGACCAGTTTGTTATTGTTATATAGCTCATCAAGTTTTTTTATTTCTGATATAGTATTCAGGTGGCTGAGACTTCATATTAATGCTTATGTTGCAAATTATCTTTTACATATAGCAAGTAATTCATGACTTTATTCTCGATATTTTTGTAGTAGTTTCTTTCAACCGCAACATAAGATGCTTAACAAGTAGCCAACATTTGTATAAACCCTCACATTACTTTTTTCTCTTGGTGTTTTGAGGCAATATTTTGATGGATAATGGATTTTGTCCTTGGGCCTTCTTCAGCGTTGTGGATTCAGTTTGGAGCCATCACCTAATTTAACAACCGAGGCTACATTTACTCCAGATGGGCAATATGTGGTGGCAGGTCATATTACATGTTGCCCTTTTCAACAATAAATTATGATATAATCCATATTCAGTTTTGTTTTACTTATATGTTTTATGCTCTGAATGTCAAGAATCTGTAAGAAGTTATTTTATGATAACGAGTTGTCTAATCAATCTGCATATACATTTTCTAGATACCTATTTATTCTGATCACTTGCTTAAGCAAAATTTAGGATTTCATAATATGTATATTTCTATGTATTCCACGTACATATGTTGATAATAAGTACCTTTAGAATATTTCTTTGTACTGAAGTTTATTACTTTTGTTTGCGAGTTTTCAAGTAATCTTGGTTTGATAACTATATGTGACTGTCTCTGTTGCATCACTTAAATGCTTAGTTTAGCCTAAAGTTGCTCTTCCTTTTAGTATGAGCAGTTATTTTGTATCCGTGATAAAACTATACATGCTTGAATCATTAGAATATTTCTTTGTACTGAAGTTTATTACTTTTGTTTGCGAGTTTTCAAGTAATCTTGGTTTGATAACTATATGTGACTGTCTCTGTTGCATCACTTAAATGCTTAGTTTAGCCTAAAGTTGCTCTTCCTTTTAGTATGAGCAGTTATTTTGTATCCGTGATAAAACTATACATGCTTGAATCATTAGAATTCAGATATTATCCTTCATCAAAATATTGTTTTCTGCTCTCTTTCCTGCTTTTCCAAATCTGGAACTTCTGTTTTACCATCTTTGTGGGTTTGTTGTAAAGGCTTTCTCCTTTTTATTTACAACATTTCCCGTAATCTATATTGGTGGTAAAGTTGGATGTTTAACAGCTTTACATCTAGGGCATTATGTTTGGATCCTTCACCCTATCATATAGGACTTGTTGTTTATAGAGTATCTGTTACCCATAAGCATACCTTCTATCTGGTGGCATCCAGTGCTTTTGTGGGTCACATAGAAAAACGCAGTATCAATGGCTCAATGCTTCTGATGTTCTTTTTACCTAAATGGACTATGATTCTAATAGCAGGTGAATATGATTGTTCGAGCCATGGACAACTAAGAAATTATTTATGTAAATCAAGTTCGATTTTGCTATTCTCTCTTTGATGGCTTGCTATTTGGAAATTAATTTTGTGGAAAAGTTTAGTTTCTGAAGGTATAGAACTCAGAACTATTTTACCTGTTGCAGGTTCTGGAGATGGAACATTGCATGCTTGGTACATCAACAAGCCCAATGAGGTATTTTACTTTTTACCATTTCTTAGATGCTTTTTGAAGACCTACGATAATTTCCTTTGAAGACCTGAATTATCTTCACAGGCTAATAAACTTTTCGTTCATATGTTATTCTAATGTGAGTTTATAAACATACCAAGGCATTTGTGTTCTTTTCACAAGGACTTCGCTCTGTCAAAACTATATAAAATCATGAGGGCCTGTAGAACTTCAACTTTCAAACAAGGGTCATCTTTTCCACTGTGACAATAATTTGATCTGCATTGTCAAGCGTTCTCACCTATGAATCTTGGCATATATTTAGCTCTGATTAAGATTTTTAGCAACAATTTGACATCATTGAAGTGCTGTTTATTTGCTTATAACAGATTTTTTTTTTCCATTTGTCAAACTTGGGAGGCACATCAATCATTCATAATATAATTCTCACCTAATGAACGCTGTTGCTGTGCAACAAAAGCTATCAGTTCAGTCCCCCATCAAGAGTTTTACAACATGGCAGCACGAATCACTTGTTTATAGACACGTAGTGGATCTTTTTTCCTTTCATCATTTGTCGAACATGGTGGTATATCTAATGGCACTCACGATCTGCATTGTGTCACAGGTGGCTTCCTGGAACAGTTACATAGGTGCAGTGACTTGCTTAAAGTGGGCACCGAGGAGAGTCATGTTTGCAGCTGCATCAACCGCCCTAACATTTTGGATACCCAAGTCGAACGAGGAACCCAGCAATGGTGAAGCTACTGCCGGAGAATGACCAAATCCCATCATCCCTTCAAGCTGCTTACAAATGAAATATGTATCGTCCATATTTGGCTTATGCTTCTGAATTAATGAACCAAGCAATCGGTTCTGTTTAATTACCATGACGATTTTGACAGCTTAAAACGGGCGATTCATATGATTCGTCTTTTGGATCCCGATTTCTGCTAAGCCTTCCTTTCATGAAAGATTTGTGAGTTCTCCTTGGATGATCAATTAAAATTAAAAAAAAAAAACAGCTTTGTAAATTAGAAAATGGTGATTTTGGCTGTCCAATACATTCATTGTTAGAATCTAATATGTTGAATTTAAGCTTTCCCCTATATTTTTTCATCGTTCTGAAAATTAATGCATGGTTTGAATTCTTAGGTTCTTGTCTCGAGGAATCAGCTCTCTCGACCCTTTTATGCCACAGGAAAGCATCCGCCCATTTATTCTCTTGCAGAGTGCAGAGTGTTAACACAAACACAACAAAATACACAACCATACATACGTAGAGTACGCTAATCTACTCCTTGTGGTGGCCGGGCATCTTCTCCTTTACCTTCTCCACGAATCCCTTCTTCTCGTGCTGCTTCTCGACGCTGCTCTCATGCTCCTTGTGCCCACCCGGCAGCTTCTCCTTTATCTTCTGCTTCAACCCCTTCTTCTTCCTCCGCCCACCTTGCCCATCGTCCTCCGACTGCCGACATCATGTCAATCTATGCCTACTGCAATATGATTCTTGTAAGTCAAGAGGAGACGAGCTTACCGAGCTGGAGCTGGAGCTGCCCGAGCGGTGGAGCATGCCGGTTATGCCCCCGCCCCCATGGTGCTGCTCCTTGCCGGCGGCGCCGGCGCCGACCCCGTATCCTTGGGTCGCCGGCATCGGGTTGCCGTACTCGTCCGTCTGGATCGGGTTGCCGTACGTGTCCGTCATCGGGATCGGTTTACCATGCTCGTCCCTCGAGTACTCCATTCTCGTCGTCCCCCTCTCTGTCTCTCCTCTCTCTCTCTCTCTCTCTGTGAAAGCTTGCCGGGGTGTGGAGGGAGGGTACAAATAGTGCAGGAAGAGGAGGGTGGTGGCTTGGGCGCTACGTGGGTCCTTCAAACCCCGCAAGCGTGTGGGAGGGACGCGGGGCCGACGTGATGAGGCTGCATGGAGTTCTGCCGACACGTGTGCAAGGTGGCTACTTGCGGAGGACAACGTCGTCGCGGTCTGGGCACGCGTGCAGGCACGTGCCCTCAGCCCGAACGATGAAGAAAAATCTAGACGCGCTGACGCGGCGGCCACGTTATCTTACCAACCAATATGAATGCTTCACACAAAAAAAATAATTCATCTTATTTAATTTCCAAAGTAATTTCAAACTCGATTAGTGTTTTTTATTTATTTGTACACTCTGTATCCGCTTTTACATTCGTGTCTGTCGACGTATCCTTATTATTAGTATATTACTATGTAAAAAAGTATGTATGTGTAATTTTCTTAGAAAATTTTCATTTTTTCCAATCCATATTTTTTATTTTAATTTTTTTTTCAAATGATGCTGTGTAATTAAGAAATAATTAATGACAAAGAGGATGAGAGGAGGAGGAGAAGAAGGAATGATGTTGACGATGAGAAGGAGCGGAGAAAGAGAATGTTACGGAAACGATAGACGTTTGAAGAGAAGGAGAGAAAAGAAATACAAAAAAAGGGTGATGATAGGAAGGACAAACGAAAGGAGCGGAGGAAGGACGAGATGATGATTGGTGATCTAAGATTATAATATAGATAAATATGAAATGATATAGGAGAAAAATAAGTATATGAGTTGGAAAAACTTCATATATGTCAAGAAAAATTCATCCTTTTGATATCGGACAGGTTGATAATAGGTTTATCGAATGAATTAATCGTCACATTTCGAGCCTCCTTAATTAGAGTCCTTGTATTTGGATGAAAAGATAAAATGATAAAAAATATATTAACGATCAATTATCATCTGATACATAAACGTCACGTGAAAACTAATATGAAAAGAAAAAAACTCCATCCACCTACGTGCATAAATAAAAGCCCAAGGTAAATCATTCGGGACCATCTCCCCCTTGTTGTTAACATGAACAAAACGTTAAGAAGGGAGCATTGGAGAAATTATATATTGTTCCCCATAAGACATGGTATAAAAGGTAATTCAGGCACTAATGTCTAAAGCTAGTTTTTTTAAAAAATCCATACCTACTAAGTTCTTAATGACTAACTGAAGTGTCATAAGGATCGAGTTGGAAAACTTCTTCCAACATCAATCTCAGTATAGGCAACGCCTCGAGACCTCGATGCTTCCACCTCGAAACTATCTCAAAATCATCTCCAAACCAATTCAGATACTCTTATGTCTTTAAGTTTGAACCATGTTGTATTGATTCATATGTCGATGATGATTTCCTCAATACTAACATTTAAATAATTTACATAAAAAATTATCTTATTTAATTTTTAAAATAATTTTAAACTGGATTAACATATTTTACTTATTTATATATTTTGAATCTGTTTTAAAATTCGCATATGTCAACGTACCTTTTATAAAATTTGCATTTGTCGACGTACCCTTATGATGTACAAAGTCTGCATGGGTGATTTTCATAGATTTTAATTTTAATTTTTTTAAATGATGCTTCAGCTTTTAATATGCTTCAAAAAAAAAAAAAAAGGGTACTAGAGACGACTGAGAGGAGGAGAAGAAAAAGAGGAAGATGACAATGAGAAGGGGGGAGGAGTAAAGAAAGGGAGAGGGAGGAGAAGAAAAAGAGGAAGATGACAATGAGAAGGGGGGAGGAGTAAAGAAAGGGAGAGGAAAGAGAATGTGATGGGAAAGAATGGTCGATGAAAGAGGTGCGAGGAGGAGGAGGGGGGGAAAAGAATAAGTGAAGTAAGAGAGTATATATATATATATATAATATTTAAAATTTAACTTTTTATCTATATAATTTTGATATATTTTTTCTTTGTTGATTCTCTATCTCCTCCTTTGAATGATCGCAAGAGCAATACTATACGTACAATTCACATCTAAACCATGTCGTATTCGATTACATTGTACGAACACTGCATCGCTACGTATACACCGACGACAACCACGTACGAAACCAGCACACGAGTCCATCTCTAATGGTGGCCCAGCAACCTGTCCTTCAGCCTCTCCATGAACCCCTTCTTCTCGTGCTTCCCCACCGTGCTCCCTCGTTCCTCCCTCTTGTGCTAGCCGTGTAGGTGTAGCTTCTCCTTCCGCGCCGCCTCCTCCCTTCCGCGGCCTGCCTCGACATACCCAGGCTGCACGCACGACGGTCAAACATATGAAGACGGACATGAAGACGATGAAGCGAATGCTTTTGAGGTGAAGCGGCCGACCGAGTTAGAGCCGGAACCGCCGGAGCGGCGGAGCATCTCGGACAGGGAAGCACCGTGGTGCTCCATGCTGCCGGCGATCACCTCCCTCGCCGCGTCGCCGCACTCATCCGTCCGCCGGATCTGGTCGCCGTGTTCCTCTCTCTCTGCCGACATGGCTTCCTCGCTGCCCGCGGTGGTGGCGACCAAATGGAGGGTCACTTAGTGGAGAATCACGTGTCACGCACGTGTTTCGGTGGGCGTCGTCACGCACGACAGCTGCATTGCAACGAAGTGACACGTTTGGTGGACTGACTTCAACACGTGTAAGATTCAAAAGTGGAAGACACCATTGATGAGTCTCCATACGCATCGATAATTAGGAAAAGACAAACACCAGCATCGTTGACAGAGCTGAGATACTATATCGAGCTCAGTGATTGAGATGCGCACACTCTTCTGTCCTCACTGTTTCGAGCTCAAGCAAACAATGAAGGCTTGATGATGCCGTCTTTGTAGCCATTAGTACTTCGTTCTGGATTCTCAGCTGTCGATACTGAAACAAGTTGTCGGCTGAAGCCATGACGGACTGGTTAACGAAGCCGAAGCTCCATGGATCTGATGGCGTTCGCTGAAAGCAGAAAAGGATCTCATCGAGAGACTGCAGCCGGTCGGTGAGCTCCACCATCCGAGTCCTCAGAACAGAGTTCTCTGCTTCGACGGCGACGTGCTGCTGCGTGGTGAAGATCACGGAAGTAAGGAGTCGGCCGTTCTCCTTCCTCAGCTGGTTCGCCTCCGCCGTCAGATCGTCCAAGTGCTTCTGCTTGCGCATCCTCGACAGCCTAGCGGATTTGCGGTTCGATATCATTCGCTTCCGCTTCTTCTGCTCCATCGCCACCGCCTGCAGATCCTCATAGGAGCCGGAGGTTTGGAGCAGACTGGATCCGGAAGAAGTCCCACCCGGAGAAGCCATGGAAAGCTTTTTTGCTCTTCTCAAGTAAAAATGCCTCGAGTAAATTATGAAGCTGTAGTAAGATTAACACTAACAAAAAGAGATTATTTCTTTGTAGCAGATTGGGCAGGGCGGCGCAGGTGCTCAGATCTTAGAACAAGCTCGGAGAACACGTAGAACCAGTATAGGAAGACGACGGAGAAGGATTGAACAAGATGGGTACTGCGTCCGAGAGTGGAATTTAACATATACCGAGAGAGATGGATCTCAAGTAGGATAGGCGACATCAATCAGAAACATCAAGAGAAACAGATGCTGCATGTGAAAAAAAGAGAGGAGAGTTTGGGAGATAAAAAGATTAGATTTTGTAGAAGGAAGAAGAAGTCCTCCAGATTCCTGCAGCAAGATGATCTTTTTAGATCGAAGCTTAAGCAAAGGCCAGATTTTGATAAGGTTTTGGGACCTCAGGAAGAGAATCTTCAGAGAAAAATTTGGCAGAGCTTTCCCAATAAATAACAGGTAGTCGAAGTAAATGTAGATGATTGATCTTCTGCACCAGAGATACAGCAGCAAGAACACAGTATTCAGCCGTTGGGTTTTCGATCTTGGATGGAGAACCCAAGAGAAATCCAAAGGCTGCTGGAAGGAGGAGGAAAACAGGGGGGGCCAAGGCTGCAGAAGAATAAAGCAACACTAATCCGAGAAAGCTAACAAGAGATAAGAGGGGGAAAGGGAATTGGAACACAGGGGAGGGGTGGAATTTATAGAACAAAGTGGACCAAGTGGAAGCAAAAACCAATAATAAAAAATTGAGAAAAAGGATGGGGGAGAGAGAGAGAGAGAGAGAGAGAGAGAGAGAGAGAGAGCTTTGAAATCTCAAGGAGAGTGGTTAGATTCTCCCAACACAAGGCATCTGGGATTTCAAACAATGTCCAATTGCACTTCTTAAAGAGACAACCAACCTCTCTAACAAAAAAAAAAAAATACTCAGAAAAATTGCATTTGTTTGCAATGCTTTAAATAGTGATAGGTAATTGTTCCTTCTAAATAAAACAAGGAAAATGAGTAAACAAATGTTGAGATTCCCAAAGTATTACCAAGAACTACTTTTGTAACAGAGAAAGCAAATGACATCCCAGAAAGGCACCCAAAAGCAACATCTAGTATAATCTTCCACTAAACAATTCTTTCAGGCTGTATTCCATTTCATGCCATAGAATTATATATTCACTGATACTGTTGACATTATTTATTTGGTGGCCATGGATGGAGTTTGGAGTATTATATATGCCTTGAGGATTTTTGCCAAAATATAAAATTACCAGGTAAATCTTTGAACTATGCTACAGATTTGATGCTCTGAGGCCTTCTCACAGTGGCACTCTAAACAAGGCATCAATCTTGGACTTGCTTACACCACTAAAGGTCAGATGATCCAATGAAGGAGGTACTGAGGAGATGTTTGGTTTGCATAGTCCAACAGATGTGCCAAGGACAAGAACTGGAAGCAGCAAAGCAGACTAAATTATATATCCTAGTGGCTTCATCACACATTGGCTTCAACTTGATGCAAGAATGATGTGCAAAAGAAAGCTTAGAGAAGTGGGATCATGGAGTTGTTCTCCACCTAAATGGACTGGTGAGGCTCTCAGATACATTTAACCTAGCCAAACAATATATATAAACTTAGTTCTGGTGGTATTAAAGCACATGGAAACTTTCAGAGCCTGTTAATTGTCTCCACTCCACAGTCCACACAGTAAATTTTAATTACATTCGCATTGCATTATGATAAGGATGATCACATTTTGTGATCTATCACTGATAACCTTTCCAAAGATGATGCACCCACCAAATTCACCAATTCAGATGCTTTAACATAATGCTCTCAAACAGATTTTGCTTGAAGAGGAAGAAGAAGAAGATAGAAAATAAACTGACTTTGCAGATCATCATTGGTGTAGAGCTCATATGGAGGAGATGACAGAAACAGCACTCTGTGCAGAGAAGGATTGATGATCACTAGTGTTCATGAGAATATGTTCCATGTTCTTAGGAGTCTTCTAATAGAATCCAAATGCACCGATTGGTGAATACTTTTTGCCTCCAGTACTGATAACTTCTTTTTCTTGGACCCCTCTAATCAACAAAATGAAAAGAAGATTTTGCAGGTTATCATACTTTGACTGAAATATGTTTGAGCTTAATTGTTTGTTTGTTTGGTGGGTGTTCAATAATGGTGATGAAAGATATGGCACTGTTTGCCTAGAGAGATTGACCACATGAAAAAGACTGCATAGGGATGATGCAGACCAGCTCAATCATCTCACAAGTGGGTCATCCATTTGATAGACTGGTATAACATTTAGCAACCTTTGTATAGTTACATCAGATTCAACTAGTTTCAAACACTTCATCAAAAATCTTGTATTGCAAAGAAACTAAGAGGCCTAAGATATGATTCATGAGACAACTATATTTTTACTATTTTGTCATGATGACAAGCAGGAAAAGAAAATTGAGGATTAGTTCCAATAGTTTTAACTCTCTCACCTATATCCTAATCTCTAGGCCTCCTTTGTCAAGCTCATTATAATGTAAGTGTTTGAGTGACAGCTCCCACTGGGGAAATGAGACTCAGACAAAAGAAATGGTTCATGAAATGACAATCTTTCTATCCATTTGTCACAATCAAGGGAAGGAAGAGACACTGAAGAGAAATCCTAATAGCATAACATGTTCTGTCCTCTCCAACTTCTCCACCCCCTCTTCCATATCCAATCTTGCACCTCTCCATCTAATCCTCCTACCTTTTCTTTCTGTCCAATAACAATCTGGTATCTAATTGGAACTCTTTATCTTGCAGCATGGACAATTCATGTCTGTACTAATGAGAAGAATAAAGCTCCATGAATTTGTGATGATCCAAACCTTGAAACCCTTGGCCTTTTCTCTTGTTCACCAAAGGCCAAATCATTTTAAAGAAAGCTACAATTTATAACATCAAGTCTCACTTGTATCCTTTCACATAAAAGGTTTGATGCCACACCTCAAAAGAAGAAGGGCCTCCCAGTGTCCCACATTAAGAAATATCTTTCCTTAAGACCTCTCTTTATTTTTCACCTTATATAAGCCACTACTATCTCCACCTCATCTTCCACTGCAAACAGCGACCATCATATGCCCCACAGTGCAAGACATGGGGCAGTGACAACCACAGCTTTAACCTTTGTCCAACCCTACATGGATCTGCTCTCAAAAAGCCACTGTACTCCATGCACCTTTTCCAAAGAGAAAAGAAGAGGACAAAGGCTTAGTGATGAAGGTTTTGTGAGGATATGTAAAATAATGTAGCGTACAGACACTCGAAGAATATTTTTCTTTCAGTTCTGGACCAAGAAAAAGAAATATCAGATACAAACATTCACCTTCTCATGACTGATAAAAAGGAGTCACTGGACTAACATGAACATTCTTTATCTATTCAGTAGCATTCAGGTTAAACTACTCTCTCACTATTTAACAGATCCTCTTTGGTTTGCCTCCAAATGGATCCTAAACCTTCGCTATACACAGTCTTATCCTTAAAAAAATACAAGTCATGAAAGTGTAACCCAGGCATTGAAGTAGCATAATAGGAACAAACAATAACACTCACGTTGATGCATGCATAAAAAGAAGCAGATGAACTAAACATCACTAGATTTCAGATTTAATGACCCCATAATCTAAGATTTCAAAAATTGGAATCAGAAACAATTTATCTAGCTTCAACGAGATGCTTGGTTAGCGTACCTTCGCTGAAGACAGTCAAATGAACGATTGGTGACACCTCCTAAATCTATTTAAACCAGAAAAGAAGAAGATTCATTTGGATACTTTCAACAAAAGATATGGCTACACAAAATGTTGAATCTACATGCAGCTGACAGCAACCTTATGCTTATAATACAAACATGATTCGGCATCCAACAAAATTTGACTTCAGGCAACCTCCATTAGTGTTGAGAAGATATCATAATCAGTCGACATCAAAGACATAAAATCAAAGCCAGTCATAAAAAAGAAGCATGGCAAGATTGATGAAGCCATCACAAAAGGTTCTCTATGGTCAGATAGGATAATAATCAAGCAATTATCTTCCTGACTAAAAAACCAAAATCTCTTTCAGTGCTTATTTTCCTCACAATTGGACTGCAATTATTATCTGATTCTTATATTATTTCTCAGGCAAATCTAATTCTATTCTAACTTGAAAAGCCTGGGACTAATAAATATTGTAGGAGACCTGACTCCATCTAGTGAGAAAATAGAAGCTCATTGAACTCGTATCAAATTCACACTGAAGATGGATATTATGAAGGTCAAGAGGTGAACAGCAGACTGAGAACCAAAACATTTCTTAAATGATGAAAAAGTAGTCTATCATACATTGTCATTGCATAACTATTTAACAAAGACGCCTACTTTAAATGGAACTCTTAAGAAAGTAGTAACCTCAATTGGTGCCCGTAGAGCATCCATAACCTCTTGTGGCCTCTAGTCAAAATCCTGCACGTACTCCAAAGAGGAAAATATAAACAGATTAAAAGAACCAGCAGACTAAACATTCTCATTATGATACAGCCAAAAACATGGTCAACACTAAATTGCACCAAGTTTAATCTGACTAAACTATCATCCATGCAACATTAGCCATCCAAAATAAGTTCTGAACCAAATGCTGAAGCATATCTAGAAACAGAAGGATGAACACACTTCAGAAACTTAAAAATCTGCAAGAAATCAATGGCCACCAAACAATTATATGTACCACATCTAATGTGGGCGCTTTAGGATCATCAAGAATGATGAACTTCGCAGTGCATCGCAAAGTCAAGTCATACAAGTGTTAATATAGTATGAGGAACACCACCCACCACATGCACTTAGCACACGATACATTAATATTTACAGGAAAGACTGTTGGAACATATCTCATAACAAGAGAACAGCCACAACAAAATAATAGTGGACTTTTATAAATTATAAGCCTGGAGTTTGCTCTGATAACAAGCACAGATTCTTATGTGTTTGCAGAAGCTTCTGGATGATAGTAAAGCATCTCCTTCCAGATCATCTCCCTGATCAAATCTTCTCCAAGATTTTCATCAATGTCAAGATCGATAGGAACCTCAGCTGGGGGATTGGCACTGGGGTCATAAAGAGGTGACATGTAAGGGTGCTCCAGTGCCTCAGTGACACTAATCCTCTTGGATGGATCAAAAACAAGCATCTTCTGCAGTAAATCAATGGCTAAAGGATTGGCCATTGGGTATAGATTACCAAGAGGAACACCAGGAGTGTATGGCAGGGATTTGATATATTTACGAGCCTTTGGGTTGTCAATGAAGCCAATATCAGCATCACTCATGGTGCCAAGTATATTGACAATGAGTTTAAGTTGGTTAAGGCATTCTGTGCCTGGGAAGATGGGCTTTCGTCCAAGCAGCTCAGCAAAGATGCATCCAACTGACCAAACATCTATGGAGGTATCATAGTTATCACAGCAGAGAAGTAGCTCAGGTGCCCGATACCAGCGGGTAACGACATACTCGGTCATGAACTGGCCTTTCCCACTACTTGTACGAGCCAGACCAAAATCACAAATTTTGAGCTCACAATTAGCATTAACAAGAAGATTCCCAGGTTTCAGATCTCTGTGGAGTATGTTCGCAGAGTGGATATACTTCAATCCACGCAGCAACTATAATCAAATGAGAGAGTTTAACCAAAAGCTTGTCAGAAGTCTTTTTTAAGAAAAAGACT